TTTGGAAGTGATTGCACAAATATGGAAAGTTTACTTTGGATTGGATAGTTAAATTTCAACATCTGAAGTTGAGAAAATTTGTGAGAACAAGCAGAAGAATCAAAATTTGCATGTATTGTTGCAGCTTTCTTTTCTTATATATTTAATCAAATGCTAGTAAATGGGAATAAAAACAGCCACCAAAAGTGCTGTCAAATGGACCAAATATTGGTAGATTTCATCCTACCTAGTCTTTAGAGTTGTTAAATTAAACGAGTCAAGCTCGAGATCATTTAAAGCTCGTTCATTTACGAGCTCAATTCGATAAGGTTCGTAAAGATGACTTTTATGTATGTCGGCTAGTTAAAGCTCGATTTTGGTTTGTTAAGGCCCATATTCGACTCGTTAATAATGATAAACGTACCGAGCTTGAGCTCAATTATAAGCTAGTTCAGTTCACGAGTTGAGCTGAGCTCAGCACTTTAACGGCTCGAGCACGGCTCAGCTCATTTACACCTTTACTAGTGACTCAATTATCTAGTTTCTCATCGTTAATTAGATCAAAATAGTGAAATGTTGTCACCGATAAGGTCGATTTTTTAGCAAATAACTACTATTGCTTAACTATATACTGGAAGAACATAAATTCTTGTATGAGGCAGCCACGGACCCACCTTTAGATTGGTCTGACTTGGTCATTTTTTTTTGTTTTCAACAAAAATACATAAATATATTTTGAAATATCATATTATTATTAATGTTAATTTGTCGAGTACAACATTTCAGTTTAAAATTATGCACATCGGTTGAAAAAGTACGACTATCTAACCACTAGATGTGTGTGTATCCTTGAGTTGAACTATTGCCTAAAGTATACACCTCCCAACATGTCTTTTTAATTCCTTCTTCTTTCCATTTATATATCATTTTATTGTAAATAGTAATACCTTACCAACTATGAGACAGGGACTTGCCATTTATATCAGAGGAAGATTATAGAACATATTAAAGGGACCTGCCAACAAGAAAATGGACAAGACAAATAATTCAATGCATTAGTTATTGAAAAAATTTAAAAAAAAAAAATATTGATATATTAGGTGTACAAATGATTTTGGTACTTAATTTCAACACCCCAAAAATCACAAATACTTAGGTGTGCCCTGGCACACCTTGCTAGGTGTGCCAGGGCCTTATGTGAAATACATCTCTTCTACAGGCGCGTGAGAGAAGTAAGGAGGTAAGTGTTTTTTTTTTTAAATGGGACATGTGTCCCATTTTTATTGGGTAATGAATTTCATTTATCATATTATATAAATTCAATTATCATTCATATTTTGTATCAAAAAATAAAAATAAAAATACCAAAATTCATAATTTTTCATTCTCTACAAATAGAGACCACATTTGATATTTTTTGGAACACAATTAATTTATCATTTTTTTACAATTAATTTATCTTATTAGAAGTTTATCACGCAAATTTATAATTAGATGAATATGTTACATAGTAAAATGAACATGTTATAGAGTAAGATGAACATGTCATAGAATATGATGAAAATGTTACATTTTCACAAATTAAATTTAGATGAACATGTTCTAAAGTAAGATGAACGTGTTACATAATAAAATAACATGTTATAGAATAAGATGAACATGTTACATAATAAAATGAACATGTTATATAATAAGATGAACATGTTACATACACAATAAGGTGAACATGTTACGTAATAAAATGAACATATTAAATAATAAGATGAACATGTTACATGATTAAATGAACATGTTATAGAATAAGATGAACATGTTACATACACAATAAAGTGAACATGTGACAAAATAAGATGAATATGTATTGTTTCAATCTACAATCTGTAACATGTTCATCATATTTGAAAACATATTCATTTTATTATGTAACATGTTCATTATATGTCAGTATAATAAAATAATTACGAAAAATTATGAAAAATTATGAAAAAACGAAAAATTAGTTGTGTTCAAAAACCTATCAAATGTGGTCTCTATTTATAGATAATGAAAAATTATGAATTTTGGTATTTTTATTTTATTTTTTTAATATAAATAATTAATGATATTTTAATTTATGTAATATGTCCCCTTTTTTAATTAAAAAGGAAAATTGGGGATGTGAAATACACTCTTCAAATTTCTCTAGTATTGGGGAGTTTTGGGAGTAAATGGGCGCGTGCAAATGTGCCCTGGCACACCTACACACGGTAGTGGTACTGCCCCAAAAATACCTCCATTACATCCACCAATGTGTGAAAGACTGTCTCAATAGTCAATACAGACTGTGTTCATTGTTGTTTAAATGTATTTTTCACATTTAATTTGATGGGATAAATTAAAATATGAAAGAAAATATTAAGTTGGAATAAAATAAATTAAATGTCTTCTATAGAAGAAACAAAAAAAAATTAAAAGAACATATATGATAACTGAAATGGTCAAAAGTATCTATACAGAACTAAACTGTAAAATTATGACAGCAACATATTTACTTTTATCACTATCCCAAGTTGTTGAGATTTTATTCCACTTCTAAAGCTGTCCTATTTTCTGCCTAGTGCTTGATGAAAATAGAGGAAAAGATTAAAAATTTCACCTCAAATTACTCAAGTATGTGTGTGGTTATTTCAATTGAAGTCAGAAAGAGTTATATATGTGGCACATGTGACAAGTCATGGATAGAGTGTAAACTTCGTCAAGGATCTTGAATAAATAATTTGGTGTATACGAAATACTTACTTGATGTGGAAGATGACATAATTTGTGATCTTGATCTTGATGATCACACGAGACTTGATTATTAGATCTAAATTAGTTTCTCCCTCCTGACCGATTGCTTAACGTAGCAGAAAACTGATGGGAAAAGCTGCGTACCCTAAGAAAAGACTAATTTATATAGGGTGACTTTAGATCTGATACGTCCATCAAGTATCCAGATTAATGACTTAGATCTGTTTGACCATTAATTAAAGACTAGCCCAGTAGGATAATTAATTGTGAGCTCAATACTTTCGGGCCACATTCTCTTACATGGAGCTGAAGGCTCAACAAATATGTCTAAAAATACAAAATCTTGTATTGGGTAAGTCGATCCGTCATATTTTTTTTTTATGGAAACACTTATTTGTATATTTATTCGCTTGGTTTGTCTGGTCCAGGCCGACCTATCATATTTTATAATGAACATATAAATTCTTTTTTACTAATGCAAGAATCAGTGGTAGAACGGGTGCAGCCCACGCGGGCCGGGTCCAAAGCTCAACGGGTGCGGCCCCATAGCAGGGAAAACTCAAATGAAGCTCAAATGAAGTTTCATCCCAAAATTAATTGGTTAATAGAAGAGTAGTCTACTCTACTAGACTTATAATTTTTTCTGTATAAATAATGTGAGATAACTCACAAGTGTTCTAATAACTAATGTTATTTTAAAAAGTAACATATCGATTAGTATGTCTAACAGCAGCTTCTTATTGTATCAAAAAATGAATTGATAACTAATAAGTTGATTTTTAGACAAATATGTTATGGCATATCTTGTGACATCTTATGGTTGAGTAAACAATTCTTTTAAATGTTAAAAAAAAAATAATAATAATAAATAAAAAATAAAAAATTAAATGTTGCATATTCATTATAACATTTTTTTTTTCAAAAAAATGATAGAGGTACTATATTAATAAAAATCACACCAACTACACCAACCAACTACACCAACAGAAATTAAAAAATTAAGAAAACTCCCAACAAGAAAATACCTGAGTGTCGGATTCCAATAGGATAATAAGTTTGACACTCAGGCACACAGAGGCCAAATGGCCCAAACTAAAACACGATACCTACAAAACGAGAAAAAAGCAACAACAACCTAAACCAAAATAAAACTCCTAAACTATAAAAGCGTTCCCCCCACAACAGAAAAAGCTACACGCCAACCCCGCCACCGCAACCGAGAGATCCACCCAAGAGGAATGCCGACCGAGCCAAGCACCATGACCTGAAACTGCCGAAAACGCCTAAAATGGTCCGGTACTCCCGACCTGAAACCTCTCCCCATGTAGACACCCACGAACCAGCCAACCGAGATTAGTCCCAAACACACACCACCCCTCCAACCAGGAGCACAAGGACTACTGACCCCAAACCACATCGACACCATTGCCTCAGCCCACTCCTCAGCCTCCGGAACACCCGAATCCCCCTCCACGCCACTAGCCGTCGGACAGAAGCACCATCCCTCCCCTTGACCCAACACCAAGGCACATAAAAGGATTAGAAGGGAAGACAGTGTCACAGGTCTGGCAGCTGGCGTTGGATTAGAAGGGAAGACAATGTCACAGCTCTGGCAGCTACCGCGAAAACGCCGCAAGCCACCCAAGCCATACTCCGCCCACTTCTTTTTTATTCTTAAGCTTGATTTATTTAGATAATATAAAAAAAAAATTATTTAAATCTTAACAAACAGTAGGCAATATATACTAACCTTTAACTTTTTATTGCAGTATATTCATGGTTGCTGAACTGTGTTTGCACTTCTCCAAATCCAAAGTTTCTACAATAATACATGCCATAATACTGCAATGCCAGGGCTTCTCAGATTGTGATAGTTGTACCAAAATCAATTTTTTTTATGTCAGTATTAAGTTGAGTTCATATCCAAACAATTAATTGCATAAATTTTAAATTGAGGTGCCAAGAAGCTTTATTTATAAGCTTGAGTTGTCACCATCGAGGAACGGTCCAATGCAAAATCATACCAAATCATAGAAATTGAAAACATGAACTTACAAAAAATTAATCAACTGCACCGCAATATTTAGAGAAAAAAAAAA